ATTTTGATACCAATTTTGAGTTGTTTGGAGAAAGTGCCGGTGCCAACTTGACGGACGTGAATAAAACTTATTTTCTAAAGAATTACAATATTTTTAAAACTGATTGTTGTTAATTCAACACTCCAATCGACAGCTATTGATATCACATAAAATTTATTTTGAACACACTAAAATATTTTTAAATTTGTATTTGTACTAAATTATGTTATTTTGACAATAAGTGGAATTAGAATAATCTATGATTGGTTGTGTAATGGTAAAACATTTATGGATGTTAAATTAACTCCAAAATAACTAAAAATTACTACCTTTAAAATAACTTATTTTGACTTATACGTCTGATGTGGTATCAACACCAAGTTTCTAGTGAGTGAAAACATACACGCCATCTTAGTAATTTTAACACCAATTCGTGCTAAATTAAATAATTTTTTCTATCTGTGAATAACGAATTAGTAAAATGAGACTGCACGAGGATACAAAATACATTTTACCTCTCTCTACTCTTTTTATTTAAACTAAACGACTTAAATATTTATAATTTGTTATTATAAACAACAATATCGTTTTCATTCAATTATAATATTATGTAAGACTAAATTGGTAAGTACTGTTTTATAATCGAAAGCCATTGGTTTTATTTTTATATGAAAATAAATAAATAAGGTTTCAAACAATGTACCTAATTCAAAATACAATCATCAATAACTTCGTATAATTTTGTTTGCTAAGTAAATTAATATAGTGTTAATAATAATTAATATGTTAAGTTTATTATTAACTATTAACCAAATATAACTGGTGATAACTTTTGATCACTGTATAATATATATAATTTATACATTATAATTATTGCGAGAACACATAATAAAATATATGAGTATAAAAAATATTTTGCACTTTGTAAACCACAATAATTTTCAACGGATGTTGTTATTTTTATTTTTATTTTTGAGTAATTTATCCATTTTTTCTATATATATATATATATATATATAGGTATATATATATAATGTAACGTTATAATATTTCCGCATCTGTGTAGCATTTATAGTTTTATTTATTTCTTACTTGTATACGAGTGAAACGACCGCAGCTTTATTATTATATACAAGTTGATTTTCTTGAAAACTATTCAGAACTATAGCTTTTCTTTAAATTATTTCACAATTGCCGGAAATTACTAACAATTTATTCTTAACCCAAAATAATAATTATTCGAATAAAATGTCTCTATAATTTATAGAACTTGTCTCGGAACGTATATAACTGTTCATTACTATTCAAAATAAAATTAATTTTCTAGTCTCATCTTGTTGAAGAGATTAACATTAAAAGTGCGTATTGTTTTCAACCGAGTTATACCCTATTTACCAGGTTTTGCAAACAAAAGCGTAACGAATTCAATAATGTTACTAGATATCTACGATAGTTTTATTTAAGAAATACCTATGATATTCTTGATGTTAATATAATATTGTTTTTTGTGAACTCTGGATTTGTTATGACCTATATACAAATGGGCGTCGGCTATATTATGTGTGACAAATGAAAACTCACGCTGTCATAGGGCATCTAACCGAATGGTGRTAGTTTTTTTTTTCACCACGTTGTCGTGCTCTCGGTMTATCGGATTACGTACCATATTATATTATTATTATGTGATATTGTGCGTCACAGATGACTTGAACGAAGCATTCGTATTATGCAAAGTTAGCACAACAAGTGCATCTGGTACGGTGCAATCATTACAGGGTAACTGACGCTGACGATGGACAGAATAGACTCGCCAACGTGTGAGTCAAGTGGCGCCAATCATATACTTAGGGTATTTCAATTGAACTGCTTTAAAAATTGGTTGTTGAGTGAGTAAAATAATGGAGTAGATATATTTTCTAGGCTTTTTATTGTATCATTTTATTAAACACATGAATGCCATTTAATTGCTTATAATAGGTATACATATATAATTAGTTAAGCCGCCGTTTCTCAGTCTTTTGAAGGCAAGGTGGGTGGGTAATCGATCTATACTTAAACTGGGTATGTATAACCGGTGGATACCCTTGTAATATACGTTATATACGTAGATAAGATACCGTCAATATTCGTAAACGATCCGTCAGTAAGATTGACGCAAACACGCCATCAATAATGACGTGAGATGGCCATCTGCTGCGACTTATCTTCACTCGATTTCACAATGACGGATAATGTCATACCAACAGGTGGGTCCACAACTGATGCACAAATTTAGGACAGTCTGCATCGAAAATAATTGAAAGTATCGAATCGTAGCTGTTTTGAAACGAACGGCATGATTTCGAACCTTATCTACACGACGACGTTATCAGAAACGACCTTTGATTTTATTCATAAGTCAGTGCAATGCTGAACATCAATAATATAAACACACCAGGGCAGAACAAGACGTGACGGACGAAAACACCTCCAGAGATTACCCAGAGGAACAATTAATTAAATAATAAAACTCTTGAAATGTTTTAGACAGGCTTGGGAATTATTTTGTAGAACTAACAAGTAGCGAGTATCAAGTACGAATCTTATTTGAAATCTGATGAGATCGTAGTAAACCGTTTTAACACAATATACCTATCTTAAGTGGAATGGCCTGGGAATCGTTCTGGTGTTGTACCTCTCCTGGGCCGTTTTTATATAATACATTTTTAGTAAGAATTGCTATTCAGGTGTATAAAAATAATAAGTTGTCGCTAAATTTCATATTTGATAATATTATTGTGAATACTGAATATAACTACAGCGTTGATTGTACATACTCTTCTAACCCTGAATTATATTTTAACTTAAAATAACCCTAAAAAAATGCTTTATACGTGCTGGCTGTTACCGTATATTATAATATGCATATATACACAATTAATAATAATCGTTTTAAATATCATTGTAACGAAACGTTTTGTTTTTTTTGTTTTTGCAGTACCATATACGAAAATCGACGAGAACGCCGCTTTGTTAGACATGTTCGTACAGGTAGGCGCGCCTAGGTGTCAAATGGTCGTGGCCGCGGGTGCAATGGCAGGGCTATTGGTGAGCATGTTCGGTTCCATGTTTCCGATGCCCAGGATCATATATTCGATGGCCCAAGACGGTTTGCTATTCAAGTGAGCGTCCGAAACGCGAGTGGACGATTTGTTTTACGTCGATTCGCGAAAAATTAAAGATCTATCCCCGCGACTTAGTCGATTGCAATCATTATCATCACCGTAATTATCACCTAATATTTTGTATTGTATATATAGGTCACTAAGCCAGATTTTTCCGTTGACCGGTACGCCGGTAGTGGCCACTGTGCTGTCAGGCGTTGCGTCCGCAATAGCAGCCCTCGTCATCAATTTGGACACGCTGATCGAAATGATGTCCATCGGTAAGTACTTCAACTGGTTAGTTAGGTAATGTAAGACTTTTCTGATGTGTGTTAATCCCTACATTGTATTAGAAACACGATTCGTATTTCCACGAAAACGGTAGCTGCGCGTCCTTATAAGAGCATAACCACAAATCATTAAATCCAGCGCAATACGAACCTATGTTATTTTAATCGTGGTATTAGGGAACCGAATAAATCCATACAAAGTCGATCACATTTGCATTTTGTGTGAACTTAAGAGGCAGTCTGCATATGTAGTCACATAGTGTTGTTACTTTGTATGTCACCGTCTTATAAACACACGACATGACAAATTTTCCTTCAACAGAACAAAATATAATATGTAATGATGTTAGCTTTATTGTACCAAAGAGTCAAATATACCATATTATATATTCAAATTTACAGGTWAAAACATTGTTAGTGTCTGTACGTCGAGTTATTACGATAGTTCAATTTTTAAGCGAACAATATAGTGTGATAGTATCTATTATAGTGTAGCATAAGTTTGAATACCTATATATTATTATATTAAACCATTTTTATTAAAACAAAAAAGTAATTTAAAAAATCGTATTAAATAGGTAGTGATTTTATAATTGGTGCTATTCGTTAATAAGAAAAACGTATATAATCTTTTATTCGAAATGCGGTATGGTTTAATTATATATAATATTTGAGTTAAATAATTTCTCATTAAATATTGTTCGAGTAWTCTAAGGATCATGGTCCATAAACATTTTTATTGTTTTACTTTTTATTTATCTTCATCTAAATTATAATTGTATGACATAATTTGATTTGTTGCCTATGTATTAGTCAAATTAATAATAACTAGTTATCGAGGGGTTTAATTGTGTTGTATACATATATTTTTGAAGTCAATAAATAATGGATTTGCAAATTGTATACTGTTCGTTATAAGCTTAATCAAGCTTATAACATATCATGTGTAAAATATTTAAGGTTAGATTACGTAGGTAAGGTACGTATAACCAACGATTTGGTAAATTATTCTAGAATACTTAATCACTTATCATTAACTATATAAATACCTGCTCAGCGTAATTTCCGGTTTCAATGAATGTTTTAAATTTTTGTCCCAAGCTTTAATTTGGTTCATCACTTTTCAGATGATCCAGGAGATAAATTCCCAATTTCATTCACAATATTGTATATTTATAACGATTACAAGATTTTGTCTTCCATTATGAAATCATTTCTGTCCTAATGTTTTAACCCCTAATTCCTTTGTTCAGTTACGATAATTTAGGACACGCTTAAGAGAATATAATATAATAGGTATTACAATTTATTTATACACAGTTCAATATTTTGTTTAAAATTACATGTGTTTGCCTCACGTCACGAAAAATAATCTCGTTTGGACGCTTTATAAAAATGGTTCTACTAAATTTCAATAGTCAGTATTAATATTATTATGATGTATWATATATAATACTACCTACATACAAGGCGAATCGATGAAATCTTGAAAGCTTTTGAAACCATGTCGGGATCAGCGCGTAACATCCGAAAAGAGATTTGTCGTCAAAGAAATCACCTATATACTATTGTATATTGTATTGAAAGGAGTTCGATAAATAAAATAGATACGGTATAATGTGGGACTACGTATACGGGATAATATCCATCTCATATTGCCATTTATATAATATAAGAATATTGTAATTTCATATTATTACATTGTTGTTGATCGAAATTTCACGAACAACAGTCGTTGGCCAAAATTCAAATCAGCAATAATATTATCTAATATTCTTGAAATTGATATTCTTTAGAGTTCTCCTCGGTGGAACAACATCGTAGGTTCTAAATAATTWAAACAAATTGACTTAAATCAAAAATATGAATCATAGTAATATTATGACTTCGTATAGTGCTCATACTCACATTACACAATTTATTAACCTTTAGGTATGTTAATTTCATTCACTATGGAAACTGAAATGGAATTATGGTTAATTTATTGTAAAATTTGAATAGTTAGAGCGCATATAGCAGGTTCATATACTATAATGAATAAATCATTAGTTGCTTTTTGGGTTTAATGCGCAACTTGTTGGTTAAAGTGTATATTATATACGTTATATATATACATATACAGTATTATAGTTATATTATATGTATATAGCTTGATTTTGTTCCATGGAAATGTCTCAATGGCATCGATAACTGGTACGTAATGGACTAATGGATATGTTTTTGCAACGCATATATTATATATGGCCCAACAAGAATGGTCCAAGTAAATTATTAWAAAAAGCTCCAATTATTTTTGATTGAATGTTCAATTTTTCAAATAGATTTCCTAGGTAACTAGTTAAACTGATAACAAAATACAATAGTAGTAGAAAAAACGGAAATCTCATTCACGGTTCACCGTTCACCGTCATAAAWYGACAAAATCATTCGGTAGCTGGTCAAACAATATAATAATAATATATCGCAAATAATTGCGGATGGAGACGTTTTCRGAAGCTAAATTAAATTGTTTTAAGTTTACATAGGTATCAATTGAATTAATATGATACTACTACTACGTATTGTACTATATTTAATCGATTTTCTCTATTGGTATAAAAAAATATATACTTTTAAAATACTATTGGGTATATTATTATTTTTACGTAATATATAATTTATAAGATAAGTGATAGTTTCTATAAAAATGATTATATTTGTTTAGCTATGTTTTGTTACAACGTAGTTATATGTTAAGAATATAATTGATGTTGGTAATTTTATTTATAGTAATTTTTTATTTCGTTGAATTAGACAAGTTGTTTTGCAAAAGATGATTTTTAAATGTACTGAAGTACAGATATACTCACTTTGAAAAGTGTTTAAAAAATAATTTGAATGCTCAGAAAAAGTATTTATAGAATACTAGATAAGAATTTACAAATATACATATTTATGTATCTTTAGATCAAGTTTAGTTTTTTAGTATTAAATTTGTTTAAAATTCTACAAGTACTGCATTATATTGTGGGTGTAAAGGCGGGTTCCACTTATACGCGTGTGCCGTGTACACGTGAAATGTTCAGCTATGTCAAACAACACGGTAACGTGGTTAATGATGTGATAACCTAAACCAATCAACCAATCACAGCAAAGGATTTGCGCGAACATGTGTAGCGGAAACCCTCCTTAAGTGCAAGTAACTATAAATTTCACTCCTGTTTTCTTATTTTAAAGTTCAGTTCATTGTCGTACTAAAAAAAAAAACAAATATCTCAATTATTGTGAAAARTGGTATTGAAAATGTTCTTTCAAACTTTCCCCCCCCCCAGTTTTATTACAAAATCGATGGGCGATAGTAGGTACCTATTTTGTATATTACTGCTACACAATGGTGTTTGGAATGAATTAAACAATTTGTGGGTTGTGCTTTATTGAAGACGATTGATTATCTGTATATTTAACGATATGAGATTTATACAAATTAAAACATCCCTTCAATAGCCAATTTGTAAGATTTCGTGTATAGATTAAATTGTATATAATGACTTGATATAGTTTCATGCACGTGGACATTAATATATTATATTTTTTCAATATTAATGTTATTAAATCTAAAATAGTTATTATATTTAAAATAAGAAAAAACAGCTATTTAATTTTAAATACAGATACTTTCTGGAAAAAATATTTAAAATACGTGGATTCGAGTATTCACAATTACTGTTTGAATAATTTTTCTCGAGTACTTTACAAAACAGCAGGAATGTGTAGAATATAATATGAGAGTATATTATGGTATATTATATCAGTGCTGTGTAAATAATACATCTCATATTCTCGTCATTACATTATTATATTTTGTGATCAATCGAATAGGCGAATTATGAATTGATAACCGACAAAATCAACTCACAACATCTAAAATTTGTTTATTATGTATTCTGGATATTCGTTTATTATATAGAACGGTCTTTACTGTTCTACGTGTTTGAAGTTTGCACAGAAATATTCGGGACCGCAGTAAATTGCTTGTCGTACACTATACGCAAAATCAATATTCCGTAATACATTATGTATCRTCAGAGAAAAGACTGTAAATATAGGGTTCGAGATCAAATTAAAATTGTGGCGGCGGCGGCGAGTCGAGCGTGTGGGCAGCACAACAATCGTCATCGCGGGTGAACGGCGGGGTCGCGTCTAGAAATTCGATCGCTGCAGCGATAATATCAATGATAATACATTATAAATTATTATATATTATACTATTATTAATATTATTATTATTATTATTCGCCACACGCAAATAACAACCACCCAAATAACGATGACCGTTATTATATTTTATGTTTTRTCGTGAAGGCACGTTGTTCGCCTACACTTTAGTGTCGACGTGCGTGCTGATACTCCGRTACCAACCACAGACATCCACAGTAATACATTTCTTCCCGGAGACGATGCGATCGCCCATGAACGCGCCCAAACAGATCGTCACCAACGGGCGGGTAAACTTTGTAAGTATAAAACGACCGCGRTTATAATACGCAGGTGGGTTTGCGACCACTGACCGGGTCGTGGTGTTACGTGTTGTTGCAGGTGGTGCAGGACGACCAAAAGTACGCGTACACGAACCAGGGGTACGGTAACCAGACGTCGTTCTACCAGACACAGTTGCCGCTGCCGCAACAAATCATACCGTCACATCAGTCGCAGAGAATAATGGTGCGAAAAGTGACGAGAAGGTAAACGAATTTCCATTACGTTATTATCATAATTATTATATGTATAATATTATTATAAGTTAATGAATATTATCATTATCATCATGTTATACCACCATGGAATAAGAAAATTCCATATAATATAATACTGATCGTTAGTTGTATATTGGAATAAATCGAATTTTTTTTTACAAGCTAGTGGTATATAAATACACGTTTTCAGATAAATTTCAAATTTTTAATCCTCTCGGTACGCGCWTGCRCAACGCAACTTATTTATTTTTTTAATAGCAACTGGTATTTTTGATACCAAGTTCGGGTAGACTGAATTATTTTAAGTCATTTTGACCATTTAATCATGGCTCTAAAATCAAAATTGACTGAATGAGAGCCATTTAAATTTTAATAAATAATATATTTTTACAATTCATTATTTTTATTTTTATTTTTAATTTTATTTTACAATACGGGACGAACCTTTTAATACATTATTATAATAGTATAATAATAATAGTTTTGTTTATGGAAACGAGGCTCAATTTTGGAGARAGAATGAAGGGTYAGTGTTGGCAATGCGCATWAGACGGATGATCGGTGAGTTAAGATAGTAGTTTGAGGAAGAGAAAGGTATAAGAAATGGAACAGATGATTGTGTACGGCGGGAGGGGACATTAAATGAGACACGGGATAGTGATTCAGGACTGTCAATTTTAGATGAAAGAAGATAGAATAGAAATGTCAAGTTAGCTGAATGACGACGATCGGCGAGGCTTTCTAAGGAAAAGAGGCGTTAGATTGGCGTGTAATCGTGAGGTGGACAGACTATCTTTAGTTGTAAGCAGCTTGACGGAGGAATTTTCTTTGAACCCTTTCTATCATGCTACGTGCGGAAGCGGTGGACGGGTCCCAGAGGACGGAACCATACTCAAGGATGGGACGGACTAGGGAGCAGAAAAGAGTTTTAGAGGGGAGAGCAAGTGGAAGTCTGAAGAGACACGGTTTATGAAACCTAGCAGTTTAAGAGCTTTACAACATATTATCTGAATATGCATATTAGGGCACAGGTTCCGTGTG